AAAAAAAAAAAAAAGAAAGTGCAGTTCTTTCAGTTTTACTTCAATTTCTTTTCAGATAATTTCAAGAAAATTAAACCCTGATAATTAAAAACTGCATGTACAATAAGATCTCACTTTTGTTTGACTATTCATCCATCTTGCTTTGCTCTCTGTATAAATGGAGAGATGATTATGATGTTTTATCAATACCTGTTTTGAGGTAGTGGGATTTTAGGTAATGTCTTACTTTCTTCCTCACATTCTTTTCAGTATTGGTATAAGTTTTAACAATCACATAGGATTATCACAAAATCAGTTAAGTTTAAATATTAATTAAAAATCAACAAGAATAGACACATATAACTTCAGAGCACCTGGCTAAATGGATGGCTACCCGAAGCAACATCTTGAAGAATTTTGGGGGAGTCTCCCAGGTGGTCATAGCTGTAAGTGAGGTCCACTGGACTGCCTATAAGGGCCACTTTTAAGTCATTGTGCAGCCAGCTGAAATAAAAACAACATTTTTAGAAGTCAATAACTAAGCTAAGCAGTTACCAGTCTCATCAATGATAAGTGATACATCTATTTACTATTACAAAATGTTAAAAGCACAAAAGCACTGATAATACATTTAACAGATATAATTTACTATGTACCTTACAAAACAGTGTTGCAAAAAAGCATGCCAAGGCAATTCAATGCATTAATTTGCTGTGTAGAAATGCTATCTAGGCCAGGCGCAGTGGTTGGGAGACCAAGGTAGGTAGATTACTTGATGTCAAAAGCTCAAAACCAGCCTGACCAACATCGTGAAACCCCCATCTTTGCTAAAAATACAAAATTAGCTGGGCGTGGTGGCGCATGCCTGTAGTCCCAGCTACTTGGGAGGCTGAGGAGGCAGGAGAATCGCTTGAACCCTGGAGGCAGAGGTTGCACTGAGCCAAGATCGCACCACTGCACTCCAGCCTGAGCAACAAGGGTGAAACTCCGTCTCAAAAAAAAAAAAAAAAAAAGCTTTATTCAATCAGGTGTAAACAAATATTTTAATTTTGGAGTTAATCTGTAATTTTTATTTTGCAATATTTACATGGCAGTGTCATTTATCTCGATTATCCATTAAGCACATTTAAACATTTTCATAATTCATGGAAATATATGTCAGTGAGTACCTTGTATTAGGGAGCACCTACTCTGTGCCAAGTGCTGCACTAAGTGACCTATGCACCCAAATGCAATGGTCATGAGACCCCCACAAGGGAAGTGCTGCTTTCAACAATGAGGCTCAGGGAAATATACTATGTTATATTCATATTTATTCTCTATGGCAGAGAACTATGGCTCCAGCTCCTCCAAAAAGTCGTAAGTGGGCCGGGCATGGTGGCTCAGGCCTGTAATCCCAGCACTTTGAGAGGCCTACGTGAGCTGATCACAAGATCAGGAGTTCAAGACCAGCCTGTCCAATACAGTAAAACCCCGTCTCTACTAGATACACAAAAATTAGCCAGGCACGGTGGCATACACCCGTAATCCCAGCTTCTCAGAAGGCTGAGGCCCGAGAATCGCTTGAACCCAGTAGGTAGAGGCTACAGTGAGCCATGATTGTGCCACTGCATTCCAGCCTGGGTGGCAGAGCAAGACTCTGTCTCAAAAAAAAAAGTCATAAGTGCAGTGACTATATAGTCTGGCTTGTCTGAGACAATGCTGTTTTTTTTTTTTTTTATTTAACCTGTTATCCCGATATAATTAATAATTCACCCTTTCATTCCCCTAGTTTAGACAATAAACTATATGGCTACCCTCTTTATAAGTCTCCAAGATGTAAATTTAAAAGAAAGAAGGCATGTTACAAAGTAACTTGTGAGACTAATTGCAATGTATGGCTCCAGAATGGATCCTGAGGAAATAAAACAACTGTTATAAAAGAAATGTTATGAAAAAAACTAATGAAATTTAAATATAAACAGTGACTTATGAAATAATATTGTATCAAAACTAAATTTCTGGCTGGGTATAGTGGTTTATGTCTATTACTTGCAGCACTTTTGGAGGCTGAGGCAGAAGGAACACTTGAGCTCAGGAGTTCAAGACCAGCCTGGGCAACAGTGAGACCCTGTCTCTACAAAAAATATTTTTAAAAAACTAGCTGGGCATGGTGGTGCATGCTTGTAGTCCCAGCTACTCAGGAAGCTGTGGTGGGAGCATCATTTGAGCCCAGGAGGTCAAGGCTGCAGTGAGCTGTGTTCATGCCACTACATCCTAGCCTGGGTAACAGTGCCAGATCCTGTATGAAAAACCAAAAAAACTAAATTTCTTTCTTTTTTTTTTTTTTTTTGAGACAGAGTTTCACTCTTGTTGCCCAGGCTGGAGTGTAATGGCGCGATCTTGGCTCATCACAACCTCCGTCTCCCAGGTTCAAATGATTCTCCTGCCTCAGCCTCCTGAGTAGCCGGGATTACAGGCATGTGCCACCATGCCAGGCTAATTTTGTATTTTTAGTAGAGACAAGGTTTCTCCATGTTGGTCAGGCTGGTCTTGAACTCCCGACCTTAGGTGATCCACCTGCCTCAGCCTCCCGAAGAGCTGGGATTACAGGCGTGAGCCACCGCGCCCGGCCGAAATTTCTTGATTATTTCAGAGAATCTTCCTTGTTCTTAGGAAATCCACACTGAGAATTTAGGTATAAAAGGGCACCATGTCCACCAGAAACTTCCAAATGATTCAGAAAATTAGATTCTCTCTCAAATACACACACATGCATATGTTCATATATACATACATATACATATATATATACACATACTAAGAATCATAATACAAATATGGCAAGATGTTAACATCAGTTAATCTATGTGAACAATATACAAAATGGTATACAAAGACCATTTCAAGCATCTTGAATTATTTCAAAATAATAAGCTGACAAAATAAGTTTAAAAGACCAGCAAGGAGAGGAGAAAATGGACCTATGAGAAATTGTTACAACTGGGCATGGCAGTTCATGCCTATAATCCCAGTATTTTGGGAGGCCGAGGAGGAAGGATGGCCTGAACCCAGGAGTTTGAGATTAGCCTGGCAACATGTCAAGGCTCCATTTCTAAAAAATTAAAAAATATTTTAAATAAGAAGAAATTGTCTTCTAGTTATCTTTTGGAGTCTCATTACCACCTACATTATTAGGAAGATGTCATTTTTCACAAACAGAAAAATTACATAAATATTTTTAAACCTTGAATAAATTTACCAACCTCTTTCGAATTCTAGCATTAAACAGCGGTGCCTCAAAACGTGGATTTGTACCAACTAGAAGTACAACATCTGCCTCTTCCACACCAGCAATTGTAGTATTAAGCAGATAATTGGAACGCAAATCTGTGCTAGAAATACAACATATAAAATGCAAATTTAAAACTAATATATACAGAGAATCCATGAAATATTCTCATATCATCAAACCCATTGCATTCCCAAACAAAAAATTTTACAAAGTATTTCTAAATTAAATGAACATTTCAGATAGTTAATTTTTTTTTAGGCAGCATCTCACTCTGTCATCCAGGCTGGAGTGCTGTGGCACAATCCTGGCTCACTGCAACCTCCACCTCCCTGGTTCAAGCAATTCTCCTGCCTCAGCCTCCCCAGTAGCTGGGATTATAGGCACACACCACCATGCCTGGCTAATATTTCTGTATTATTAGTAGAGACAGGGTTTCACCACGTTGGCCAGGCTGGTCTCAAACTCCTGACCTCAGGCAATCACATGCCTTGGCCTCCCAAAGTGCTGGGATTACAGGCATGAGCCACCGTGCCTGGTCTCAGATACTAATTGATAAGTGGATTCCTCTATTTCCTACAACTTCTGGTTTGATCTTGGTCTATATGTGAAAATAAATTGGGGGATATATTGGAGAATCCAGGTTGTCTCATTTTATACTTAACTTGTAACAAAAAGAAGAAAGGAAGGCCTAGATCCTAGCTTCATATTTCTCACCCAGCTCCTGCAGTAGGGAAGACCTCTTCAGTGCATAAGGTGTCAGAGTCCACTCTATTAAGCAAATCTTTGAGAGCTACTAGGGCTTCAGCATCCACCAAGCCACCTGCAATTGCTGCCACATCTTTGCCTTGAAAACTCTGCAACTAGAAATAGATGAAAAGGGCATCACCAAGAAACCTACATGCAGCAAAAACCACAATGAAATATTCAGAAAATAAAACAGTAATTGTTTTTAAGTACAAAAAAAGTTAACAGATTTCTGATTAAAAAGTTTTACAACACAGCCAGGCTCGGTGGCTCATGCCTGTAATCCCAGCACTTCAGGAGGCCAAGGTGGGCAGATCACCTGTGATCACGAGTTTGAGACCAGCCTGGCCAACACGGTGAAACCCCATCTCTACTGTTAATACGAAAATCATCTGGGCGTGGTGGCACATGCCTCTATTCCCAGAAACTCGGGAGGCTGAGGCAGGAGAACTGCTTGAACCCAGGAGATGGAGGATGCAGTGAGCCAAGACTGAGACTGCACCACTGCACCCCCAGCCTGGGCAACAAGAGCAAAACCCCATCTCAAAGAAAAAAAAAGTTTTACAATAATTGTTAATCTAAAAGTGAGAAGCTGCAGAGGTATTATGTGGGGCCACAGCTAAAAACATCAGCTTGGAAGGAAGCTATTTGTTTTATATTTAGGAATAAAGGCACTTCCAAATGAGGTCTGGAGAATAAAGTGGAACTACAGTTACCTTAAATGCAACCTCCTTTGAAGTATCTGCCTTCCCCTGTAGTGCTTTATGTTGTCTTTTTCTAGTAAGAAAACTATTCCCTCCACTTGTGCTCTGGCATGCTCATATTCATTCTCAGATTCTTCTTTAAGAATCACCTCTTGGCCGGGCGTGGTGGCTCACGCCTGTAATCCAAGCAGTTTGGAGGCCAAGGTGGGTGGATCACCTGAGGTCGGGAGTTCAAGACCAGCCTGACCAACATGGTGAAACCCTTTTTAAAAAAAAAAAAAAAAAAAAAAAAGAATCACCTCTGTAGGAAGGCAATGCTTTTTTTTTGAGATGGAGTCTCACTCTGTCACCCAGACTGGAATGCAGTGGTGCAACCTGGGCTCACTGCAACCTCCAAGGAAAACACTTGATATGTCTGTCCTAGTTAGGCGTCCCTCCTATATGCTCTTACTCATATTACTCCCTATATAATTACTCATAGCTGCATATAATAATTGCTGAATTGTGCAACTTTCTCCACTACAAGATTGTAGGATGCAGGAACCATGTCAGTGTTTTTATATCCTTTAGTCTAGCATAATATATCTAGCATATGTCCTTAATAGATGTTTGTAAAATGAAAGATTAAATCATAATCTTAGTAAAGGGAAAAAAAGGAAGAAACATACGCCCCTCCTCCCCCTTCATGGTAAAGATGTTTCTTGATAATCGCAAACACTATTTAACACTATTTATTTCCATTTTTACCATTCCTGCTACACGAGAGAGTGCATCCTCCCAGGAAGTATAGGTTAAAAGCCCTTTTTCATTTCTGACCATCGGCTGGGTAAGTCTTTGACGTTTTAGCCCATCATAGGCAAATCTAGAAAACAGAAATTACACCATTGTGGAATCTTGCTAAAGAAGCAACTATAATTTTCAAGTTTAAAATCAACAAAAAATGTTATTAAAATATAGTGCTGGTTAAAGTATCAAATATCTAAACATCTAGACACAAGTAATTATTCCAGATACTTTTAAAGATGAATAGATTTTATGAACTTCACCTAAAACTAAAATACCACCTAAAAGTTTGATTTCTTCCCTTAAATCCATACAAAAAAAAAGTTTGATTTCTTATACTTTTAGCTAACTGAACAATCTTAAAATTACAATACAAGGAGATCTGATATCTAAAAAAGGCAAATCATTTTTATTTACAAAACCTGAGTACCTCTAGATATTTTATCAAAATTACATTGTGCAAACTCTTACATTTAGTTTCTTTCTTTTTTTTTTTTTTTTTTTTTGGGGACGGAGTTTCGCTCTTGTTACCCAGGCTGGAGTGCAATGGCGCGATCTCGGCTCACCACAACTTCTGCCTCCTGGGTTCAGGCAATTCTCCTGCCTCAGCCTCCTGAGTAGCTGGGATTACAGGCACGCGCCACCATGCCCAGCTAATTTTTTGTATTTTTAGTAGAGATGGGGTTTCACCGTGTTGACCAGGATGGTCTCGATCTCTTGACCTCGTGATCCACCCGCCTCGGCCTCCCAAAGTGCTGGGATTACAGGCTTGAGCCACCGCGCCTGGCCATTTAGTTTCTTTCACGCAATCATCCGGCCTTGGCCTCTCAGGGTGCTGCGATTATAAGTGTGAGTCACCGTGCCCAGCCTAGCTTCTTTTCTCTAATGAACAAACTGAAATAAGCTGAGAATGTATCAATCTACTTCAATTTCTCCATGTGGGAGGAAAAAAGATCTTTCTCAAAGTAAATAAAATATCCAGGATTGACCTAGGACTATTAAAGTCAGTATGATCACATTATATAAGCAGCTCAGATTCTAGTAGTCTATATTCAGTAAATAATTTGCAAATATAAAAGATAACTTTAAAATTATTATAAAATTTCCTTTAAATAAACTACAAAAGTTAAGGAAAACAATATATCATATACCTGGTTTTATCAGAGATCCACTCTTCATTGATGTCTTCATGCATACGTGGCAAAATCCTCATCACTTCTCCAGTTCTTGTGCTAACCACAATATTACTCCCAACTGCATCCATTACATCAATGGATTCTGTCTTTCTGAGAAACACATATGGTGTTTACTATGGTGCTTTAGAGAATAAAATAAATTTCTGTTACCTGGTTTACCAAAAAAAATTTTTACAATTAATTACCTTTCTGAATTAGTTAAAACTGTGAAGCTCAGAGGAATTGCAATTAAATAAAAGAACTCCCAACTTTTTTTTTTTTTTTTTTTTTTTTTGCCATGGGGTCTCACTCTGTTGCCCAGGTTAGAGTGGCATGATCATAGTTCATTGCAGCGTAGAACTCCTGGGCTCCAACGATCCTCTCAAGTCATTTAAATTTTTTTTTTGTAGAGACAGGGGCTCATTATGTTGACCAGGCTGGTCTTGAACTCCTGGCCTCAAGCAATCCTCCCACCTTGGCCTCCCAAAATGCTACGATTATAGGTGTGAGACACTGCTCCCAGCACACCCATATTTGAACACATAAATTCCTGGCACAATAGTGAAGGCTTTAAAACTATTATCTGACACAGAAGCTAGATTGAAGGGGCTCCAATTAGCCAAATCTGGGATGATCAACAAAAGGGGCAGGATTTCTGTCTATGGGAGATTAAGGAGCTCAACAAACCTTCCCACTGAAAAGCAAAAGTAAAGCTGGACAAAAATGACAAAATCCACCATCTTAGCAGTTTGGAAATCTACTAAAGGCACACAAGAATGTGGGAAGCTTTTATGCACTGAAAAACTCGTGGCTGGGCTCAGTGTTGCTCCTATGCTCCTCTCCAGCCCCTCGAAATGGAATTTTGTTGAGTGTGGGGCAGACTGTGAAAATGAGAACTTCTTTGCTACTGAGGGAGACAACTCCCTTAATTTGGAGCAATCGGCAAATTTGTCTGTGGAGGTGATCCTTGGAGGTCATCATAGCTGAGGACAGTCAAGATTTTACTAGCCTGAGGTTGTAGTGTTAATTGCGGCAAGCATTCCTAGCCAAGGCTGCTATATGCACAGGTGAAACCAGAATGGGCTCAACCTATTCACAAACTCCTGGACAATACTGAGACCCAAAGAGTTCAGTGCAAAGTAATATAACAGTTGGGCAGACTTGAAAATAGCCTCAACTTTTGAAGATGCTCCTTTATCTACATACAGATCCACTGGAAAAGAACATAATTCTTATTAGGTCAAGGTGTTTGAAGTATAATCATACCTGACTACTAAACTATGCAGACACAGGGGAACTCCTAAGCCTCATTTAAAAATAAAACCAAGAATATTAAAATATGTTCAAAGAGCCAAAGAAAATCATGTTTAAAAATTAAAGGGGATGTATGACAATCACGAATCAGCAAGCAGAGATTCTCAGTAAGGATACAGAAATTATGCAGAAACAAAAAGCCAAATCCTAAAATTGAAAAGTATAAAGTTTGGGTGGATGCAGTGGCTCACACCTGTAATCTCAGCACTTTGGGAGGCCGAGGTGGGAGGATCACCTGAGGTCGGGAGTTCGAGACCACCAACATGGAGAAATCTCGTCTCTACTAAGAATACAAAAATTAGCTGGGCGTGCTGGCACATGCCTGTAATCCCAGCAACTTGGGAGGCTGACGTAGGAGAATCGCTTGAGGTGGAGGTTGCAGTGAGCTGAGATCATCCCACTGCACTCCAGTCTGGGCAACTAAAGTGCAACTCTGTCTTAAAAAAAAAAAAAAAAAAGAGAGAGAAAGGAAAGTAAAAAGTTTAAAACTGGATAATTTGTTATGTAAATACTCATACCTCAGGCTGGCGCGGTAGCTCACGCCTGTAATTTCAGCACTTTGGGAGGCTGAGGCAGGCAGCATGAGGTCAGAAGTTCAAGACCAGCCTGGCCAACATGGTGAAACCCCGTCTCCACTAATACAAAAATTAGCCGGGTATGGTGGCAGGCGCCTGTAATCCCAGCTACTCAGGAGGCTAAGGCAGAGAATTGCTTGAACCAGGGAGGCGGAGGATGCAGTGAGCCGAGATCATGCCACTGCACTCCAGCCTAGGCAACAATAGCAAAACTCCACCTCAAAAAAAAAAAAAAAAAAAAAAAAAAAAAAAAAAAAAAAAAAAATTCACATCTCTTGCATCTATCCACTCCACTTCTTGGTTTAATTGAGAGAATGAGAGATATATACAAACATTTGTGAACAGCAATATAAATAAGCTAAAAGTCTATTAACAGAAACTGGTTAAGTAACATGACATTCCTAATGGTTGAAAACTTAATATACAACAACATAGGAGACTATAAATTTAAAATATCAACATTATTAAACTCCTTGGAAGAACAGGTGAAACAAATAATTTTGTGGTTGAGTGCTTTATAATTAATTTCCAAGAAAACTACAATTAACTTCTAACTACTTAACTTCTATTTAAAGGGTTTTACTTAAACAAACAAAAAGTCAACAGACCAAAACAACACTTTCTTCCTAAAACTCAGGAACAAAGTGAAACTTAGTTTCTTTTTGAATAGTAATGAATTAAGGACAAAAAATAAATTATCATAAAATACAAAGATACCTTGTTTCCCAAGGCCGGGCAGTAAAGGCATAGGGCTTAGAGGTGAGAGCACCTACAGGGCATATATCAATGATATTTCCAGACAGTTCAGACATGAACATCTTTTCAATGTATGTACCAACTTGCATTTCATTTCCTCTGCCTGTTGTTCCCAAATCATCAACTCCTGCAATCTCACTTGCAAACCTACAAGATAAAAAATGTGCCATCAAATGGTCAAGTCCAGCAAAATTATTTCCTTATTCATGATAACAAAGAGATGATGATTTTCAAAACACTAAAAATAAATGAGCGTATTTTCAATGGTGAGCACAGTCCTAATAAAAAATAATTAAATGTTTGCATTTTGTTGAGGTGTAACACATATGCAGAAACTTGTACAAATCATATGTGTACAACGCAGCAAGTTAACAATGAAAGTGAATGCTTGTAGATTTTAATTTCTTTTTTTTTTTAATTGCATTTTAGGTTTTGGGGTACATGTGAAGAACATGCAAGATTGTTGCATAGGTACACACATGGCAGTGTGATTTGCTGCCTTCCTCCCCTTCACCTATATCTGGCATTTCTCCCCATGCTATCTCTCCCCACCTCCCAGGTTTTAATTCTTAAATCCACCTGAAGTTGGTACTAATTGAAAGTGAACTTATTTTATTGGTCTTCAAAAATAGCATCCCTCTTCTCCCACCCAACAAAAATAGCCATTCAGTCCAAAGTTATTATTAATCAAACTGTGACTATTAAATAAGTATACAATGACATTCTATAATATAAGAAACTAGGAAAAAAATTTACCTGATGCAGCGAGTACACTGAATACATCTTGTCATGATGGTCTTTACCAATGGCCCAATGTTTTTGTCTTCCACAGCACGTTTCCCCTCTAAAAATCGGCTCCTATCATTTCCAAACATCATGGACTGGTCCTTAAGTAGATTATCAAAGAGTCAATCTAATGCTGCTAATAAAATTAATATCTGAGACAACCAAAAAGATTGACAGAATTCTACTACATACCTGCAGATCACATTCACCTCCCTGGTCACAAATAGGACAGTCCAGTGGGTGATTTGCTAGTAAGAACTCCATCACACCTTCTCTGCATGAAGATTGTAACATATAAAATGACTATCAAATACACACAGACTGACATAAACAGCTAGCACTCAAAATGACCTATAAGCTTTATTATTTATTTATTTTTTTGAGATGATGTCTCACTCTGTTGTTCAGGCTAGAGTGCAGCGGCATGATCTTGGCTCACTGCTGCCTCCTGCCTCTGCCCCTCGGGTTCAAGCAATTCTCAGCCTCTCAAGTATTTGAGATTACAAGTGCTCACCACTACACCTAGCTAATTTTTGTATTTTTAGTAGAGGCAAGATAGATTTCATCATGTTGGTCAGGCTGGTGTTGAACTCCTGACCTCAAGTCATCCTTCCTAGCCTTGGCCTCCCAAAGTGCTAGGATCACAGGTGTAAGTCTCTGCGCCAGGCTCACCTATAGGCCATTTAAACAACTTTCATAGATGTGTATATATATGTATAAATATATATATATATACACATATATATATTTGTTGAGATGAAGTCTTGCTCTGTTGCCTAGGCTGTAGTGCAGTGGCATGATCTCGGCTCACAGCATCCTCCACCACCCCAGGTTCAAGGGATTCCCCTGCCTCAGCCTCCTGAGTAGCTGGGACTACAGGTGTGTGCCACCACGCCTGGCTAATTTTTTTGTATTTTAGTAGAAACAGGGTTTCACCACGTTGGTCAAGATGGTCTTGGTCTCTTGACCTCATGATACACCATGCCCAGCCAGGTGTATATTTTTTTATACAGTTAATAGTAATTTTACATTTAGTATCAGAAATGCCAATTAACTATCATTCTGGTAGTTTTTTTTTTTTTTAACAGACAGGATTTTGCTATGTTGCCCAGGATGGCCTCTGCCTCCCGGGCTCAAGTGATCCTCTCACCTCAGCCTCCTAATTATCATTCTGGTAGTATTAAACACACAATCTGGAAAATACTTAGAGGAGCCTAGAATAAAGTATCATTAGAGGATCTAGAAAATTATTATTTTTGGTCAGGCTTGGTGGCTCACATCTGTAATCCCAGCACTATAGGAGGGAGGTCAAGATAGGATGATCACTTGAGGCCAGGAGTTCAAGAGCAGCCTGGACAACATTTTTTTTTTTTTTTGAGATGCGAGTCTCACTCTGTCACTCTCGCTGGAGTGCAGTGGCAGGATGTCAGCTCACTGCAACCTCTGCCCCCTGGGTTCAAGTGATTCTCCTGCCTCAAACACCCAAGTAGCTGGGATTACAGGTGCCTCCGTGCCCGGCTAATTCTTTTTGTAGTTTTTAATAGAGATGGGGTTTCACTGTGTTGGCCAGGCTGGTCTTGAACTCCTGACCTCATGATCCACCTGCTTTGGCCTCCCAAAGTGCTGGGATTGTAGGCATGAGCCACCATGTCCAGCCAGAAAATTGTAACTTTGAACAATACCAAATGATCAAAAGTTGCTGAACGGTCCTCAGAAAATATTCACATTAATTCAAAACAAAAAAAATCAGTGCCAGTACAAATACATCAATGAAATAATAGCTTAATAAGTCCAGATTCACCCTTTATCACAAGTTGAGCAAGTTACTAGGCAAGGATTTTTAATGTTGATCCTAAGGCTCAATACTATAAACTTCTGACTTGACCTCTTCTACTATGTAGAATTCGCTTCTATTGCTCCTAGATGGCAAGCGCACCAACTTCTTCAGAGTTTGATATTAAATTCTTTTTTTTTTTTTTTTTTGAGATGGAGTTTCACTCTTGTTACCCAGGCTGGAGTGCAATGGCGCGATCTCGGCTCACCGCAACCTCTGCCTCCTGGGTTCAGGCAATTCTCCTGCCTCAGCCACCTGAGTAGCTGGGATTACAGGCACGCGCTACCATGCCCAGCTAATTTTTTGTATTTTTAGTAGAGATGGGGTTTGACCACGTCGACCAGGATGGTCTCGATCTCTTGACCTCGTGATCCACCCGCCTTGGCCTCCCAAAGTGCTGGGTTTACAGGCGTGAGCCACCACGCCTGGCCCTTAATATTAAATTCTTAATTTATGGGAAGGTCAAAAAAAGAAAACGGCAATTTTCTACTTTAGGAAAGCAATGCTACAACATTGAGTAACTCAATGCTACATATTACTCAATGCTACAACATTGAGTAACATTAAAGTACCTGGCTTTCTTGGACTTTTCTGAGTTTGTCAGGATATTCCAACCCTTCATTACTGGCATGGCACAAGCAGCTACAACCTGGGATTTCAATTAAAAAAAAAAATGTGTTTTTGTATTTATTTGTAATTACAACCAATCCAATATATAAAAATGTTAAATTATATAAAAACATTAAATTATACATTGGATAACAGGCAAAGAACGGAGTATTTTTTAAAACTAAGTTTTCATATTCATAGTATGATGATCTAGTACTTCGCATTTATCTCAGAGATAAAACATCCTGGTTTTTAAGTTTATTCTAATAGTCAATGCAATTTTTATTCTGCTCTGAAACAGAACCCAAAGAACTATGCTTTGATTAGCAGGCACTACTGAGTTAAATATTGCATACACCAAAATGAAACTACTAAAAGTAAACCTCTTCCCTGCAACCCTTTTCTCTATTAAAAATGGTAAGGCATCAGCAATTCTAATGTTCTACTTGGCAACTCTACATCCTAGTTATAAATCACACAACCATTTGGAAATACTGACAGCTGTAAATCACCTTTAATTTCTAGATCTGTTACAATCATATGGCATATGTGTTTATAAAGCACTTCTGTTTCCAGTTTTGAAATGAAGAGAATCAATTACACAAAAGAATTAAATTTATAGATAAAAGTAAAGAGGGCTAGGTTTTCCACTACAATATTGATTCTAAATAAAGTTTGCTGCAAGACTTAAAGTTTTCTGCCTTCTACAGCATGGTGTAGGATTTTAGGTATCAAGTACCTTAGGAGCTTTCTCAATTTCAACAAGGCACATCCTGCAGTTTCCAGCAACAGACAACCTTTCATGATAACAGAATCGAGGGATCTGCATGCCAACCTTCTCACAAGCCTAGAAGACAAAGTAAAAAAAAAAAAAAAATGCATTAGAATAACCTGACTTCACTGCTGTTATTGCTGAAACACACATATACAGCCATCTTATTACTACTATCTATCTATGTATCTTCATTCATTCTTATTTCAGTCAGTTTCTTTGCCCTTGATTTTAACCCCTCTCTCCTCTGAAGCTGCCTCAGAGGATCTTAGGATCCTTGGCATGACTTCACCTTATGTGGAAGAAACTGGATAAAGTATCCTTCGACTGTGCTGACGACCTGACTTCCCATATCCGTTCTGAACTGTTGTCCATAATGTCCCTTCAACCTCTGTCCCAGTGGTTTCATACCTGGACTACTTCTTTGCCTTGCTCTCTTCCTTTGGATTAGAGATTTCACTACACATCATCTAGCTGGCTATGATTTATTTCTGTCTTTGGCTCCTATATCCCACTCAGAACTCACCTCCCACTGTGGCTGAAGTTTTTCCCAGTTCCTGTTTGCCCAGTAAGGGGGATTACTCCTGCTCTATCAATTGTTACCTACCCTCCTCTGCAATTTCTTCCTGCTTTTAGTCCTTTTAATGTTCAAATTTCCTCTAGAGTCACTTCCTCCACCCCCAGACGTCATTCTAAAGCAATCTCATCAATTTCCAGTGTTTAAATTACTTCGTTAGCAAAAATGTGTTGACTGTTTCTTTTGTGCAGGATGCAGGTATAGTAGTGAACAAGACAGACAGTGTTCCAGTCTTCACACTAGCTGATATTCCTTATGATGATTATATCCAAACTTTCATCTGCAGCTGTGTTAGTCTTCCACTTCTCCAAGCTTCAGATTTACAGGCATTTGCATGTGTATGTTCCACAGACAGCTTAAATTCAAATAATCTCTCCCCTCTACATACTTCAAAATAACCTAACAAATGCAGAAAACCACAAGAATTCCTCTGCTCTCTGAATTCTAAAGGACTATCTGTCTCTATGTCTCTACTAAAACTTTTGTGTTTTTTCCCCACTATTGAAGCATATTGGGAAGTTCTGCACAACGGGGGGAGAAATTCCTCTGCTCTTCATCATTCCTGAAGGCCTGTCTACATTTCATTCTCCCTTGAATCTCCCCGCTTGTTTTCATTCCCATCGCCACTATCTATTTTAGGCCTTTTTGTATCCTGTTCCACTAATACAAAATGCTTTTTCCTTGTCTCTTATTCCAGTCTTGCTATTCTTCAAACCATCATCCTCTACAGTTACTGTTACCCTGCTTAAATAGAGAGCAAAACTCCTGATGGATCAAAATATAAGCTCTTCCACGTAACAGACATTGTATTTCATGACTGGACCTTCCTGTCCTCAATAACTCGATTTCCTGTAATCTCATCTTCTAATTATACCTTATGTTTCATCAATATTAAACTATTTGAAGCGTTCAAAACATGACAAGCTATCTGCCTTAACTGATTTTTCCATAGGAAATGCAAGCATGTCCTTCTTATTCACATATGAACACACCTGTTCATCCTTTAACACTTCCTCAAGGATCACCTGAGGCACCCGACATCTCTTTCTACTACCTCCTATCCCTGCCACAACTTTTCATTGTACCTTAAACACACATTTATTTATATCATTTTTGTGCTTACTTGTCTGTGACTGGCAGATAGTCTAGAAATGACTCCTAAAATGAACAAAGAACATTTAGATCTGTGACAAATTATAAATGGTGTGAAGCAATACCTCTCTATGACCAATTTATTATTTCTGGAGGAATATGAAGAAATTAAATATATAGAGCATGAATTTAAGCACATGCTACCCTCCGTTTGTTTACCTGCTTTGTAGGACATATTCCTATGCTACTAATCACAGAAAGGTTGTATGAAAGTGAAAAGCATCAAGCAGGCCCACAACAAATGAAGGTTATTTTTTCACAAACTTACCTATAGTAACTAATTTAAGTTACTTCAATTTCTTAATGGGTATTCATTTGGAATGCAGAAGAGAAACAAAAAAACTACCGCAGTTCACTAAAAATAAATGATAGCTCACTTTCAAGTGCCAAGATTTAAAATGAAATAATATTAATATAATTTTGCCACATATAGTTCTTTTAAAGATTTACTAATACTTTAAACAGTATAAAGGAATTAAATTAGTATTTTTTTTAAAAATCAGCACACACACAAAATAAAAAATTAGAACGTATGCCTACCTGGAGGACGGTCGTTCCTGGTTCCACCATGACAGACTGACCATCAACAAATACTTCAATCAAGTTGCTTGCTGCTGTGGCAGTTGTTCGGGCTGACCATCAAAGATATTGAAGTAAAAAACAGATGAGTTTAATTTATTATAGCAGATGGTAATGGATGAATTAACTCTAACTACAAACCCAAAATTTTTCATTCCGTATTATTCCTCCGTATTTCTCTAGATGCAAACTTAGGTTTATCTATTTTTGATAGTAGTTTAAACTAAAATTTTTCTTTTGAGAAGGAATCTTGCCCTGTTACTCAGGCTGAAGTATAGTGGCACAGTATTGGCTCACTGCAATCTTCACCTCTCAGATTAAAGCGATTCTCCTGCCTCAGCTTCCTGAATAGCTGGGATTACAGGCACATGCCACCATGCTCACTAATTTTTGTATTTTTAGTAGAGACAGGGCTTCTGGTTTCAAACTCCTGACCTCAAGTAATTCTCCCACCTCGGCCTCCAAAAGTGTTGGGATTACAGGCATGGGCCACCGCGCTGAACTTTAAACTGAAACTGTTAATACCACTGAAAATATGTTCATGGGAAGATCACTTTTCAAAAACAGAATGTGATTTTTCCATTTTGGCACTGATGTGTGTGGTTCCTAATACATTCCATTCCATGATAATTCCTATAAATGGTTTAAAGTAAAATTGTATTTTGAAAATTATTCAACTTAGATCATTTGTTTCTTTTGTGTGTATGTGAGATAGAGTCTCACTTTGTTGCCCAGGCTGGAGTGCAGTGGCGTGATCCTGACTCTATGTAACCTCCACCTCCCAGGTTCAAGCGACTTGTGCCTCAGCATCCCGAGTGGCTGGGATTACAGGCGTGCGCCACCATGCCCAACTGATTTTTGTATTTTTAGTAGAGATGGGGTTTCACCATGTTGGCTAAGCTCGTTTTGAATTCCTGGTGATCCACCTCCCTCAGCCTCCCAAAGTTCTGGGATTACAGGCATGAGTAACTGTGCCCAGTCTGTTTCTATTTTTATTTTTTAAAATTATGGGTTTAGGGTCTTTGATAAAATATTCTGTAGACTTTTCATAGCCATCTCGGACTAAAAAAAAAAATATATATATATATATATTCCATAGACACAAATTTACAAAAATAAAGTATAATACCCATGAATGCAAATTAAAAAAAAATACTCACCACATCCTTTAGGAGACTTAGGAAGGCCTACTAAGGCCTTTCTTAGAGGTGTCCTTAACATATTGCTAAAAATAAAACAAAGAATTATATTATTGTAATGGAAAAAACTGTTTGGTAAAGTTTATGGCTTTAAAGTATTTCACATACATAATGTCGCTGAACATTCACAGGTTCTGATATTTTCCCTCAAAGTCTGTAGATAAGAATTCTTAGTCTCAGAGACATAGACTTGTACAATGTCAAAGAGCTAAGCAGCAACAGCTATTGTATACATTTGCACTTTCTAATTCTATGCAAAGAGGAGTTTTGTCATTTAAAAAAAATTATTTAGAAAGGATCAAACTTAAAACACTACCACACAGTAAAATAAACTGCAAGACTAACAGTGAGCTTATCACTAATGGTTATGTAAAATAAGGTCTACTTTTGTGTTTCATTTCCTACCAATACCCGTTCTATTATTTCATGTTTCAAGCATAGCTGTCTACTAAAGCCTCCTGAGATATTCTGAGATAGCTCACCAGCCCAAGCCTTTGAGGTGTCTTGAGTGCTATTTTCTGATACACTTGTCTTACAGATTTCCAATTATATGCTTATAAGCCCATTCTGCCCTCACTGCATTAACTCCTTGATTTTTCTATCTTCAGTATCTATCCATCAGGATGGCACAGAGTAAGCTTTTAAACAACAGTTCTCAACTGGGGACAATTTTGCTCCCCAGGGAGTATTTAGCAACGTCTGAAGACAGTACTGTCACAAATAGGGGGAAGTTACCAACATCTAGTGGATAGAGGGCAGGGTGCTGGCTAAACATCCTACAATGTACAGGACAGTCCTCCACAATAAAGAATTATCCAAAGTATGAATAGTGCTGAAGTTAAGACACTGCTCTAAAAGGCTTACTGAATTACTGAAATAAATGGGGGTAGATTACATAAACACCACGTGACTCGAAGACAAACACCACAAACAGAAAAATTACCGAACTTTTTTTTTTTTTTTTTTTGAGATGAAGTCTTATTCTGTTGCCCAGGCTGGAGTGCAGTGGTTCAGTCTCAGCTCACTGCAACATCTGCCTCCTAGGTTCAAGCAATTCTGCCTCAGCCTCCTGAGTAGCTGGGACCACAGGTGTGCGAGACCACACCAGGCTAATTTTTGCATTTTTATTATTTATATATTTATTTATTTATTTATTTATTTATTTTTTTTTTTTTTTTGAGACGGAGTTTCGCTCTTATTACCCAGGCTGGAGTGCAATGGCGCGATCTCGGCTCACCGCAACCTCTGCCTCCTGGGTTCAGGCAATTCTCCTGCCTCAGCCTCCTGAGTAGCTGGGATTACAGGCACGCACCACCATGCCCAGCTAATTTTTTGTAGTTTTAGTGGAGACGGGGTTTCACCATGTTGGCCAGGATGGTCTCGATCTCTTGACCTCGTGATCCACCCGCCTCGGCCTCCCAAAGTGCTGGGATTACAGGCTTGAGCCACCGCGCCCGGCTTATATATTTATTTTTGAGCGGGAGTCTTGCTGTCACCCAGTCTCGCTGTCACCCAGAAGTGCAGTGGTGTGATCTCGACTCACTGCAACCTCTGCCTCCCAGGTTCAAGCGATTCTCCTGTCTCAGCCTCCCTAGTGCTGGGATTACAGGGTCCTGCCACCACTCTGGCAAATTTTTGTATTTTTAGTAGGACGAGGTTTCACCACGTTGGCCAGGCTGGTCTCAGACTCTGGACCTCAGGTGACCCACCCACCGCGGCCTCCCAAAGTGCTAGGATTACAGACATGAGCCACCGTGCCCAGCCAAGGTACCAAAACCTCTAAACTTGTTGGGTTTTATTCCTATTTGATCACATAGGCTAAGCACTGACCTTTTTGCCTATTCACTTGATCATATAGGTTAAGCATCTAAAATCATTTGGAACTTCTAAAGGTATTAAAAATGCAAATTGACCAGATGAGGTGGCTCATGCCTGTAGTCTCAACACTTTGGGAGGCCACCTCGAGGAGTTCGAGATCAGCCTGGGCAACACAGCAGGATCCCATCTCTACCAAAAAAATAAAAAATTAGCTGGGTGTGGTGGCATGCACCTGTAGTCCCAGCTCCTCAGGAGGCTGACCTGGGAGGATGGCTTGACCCCAGGTGTTCAAGGTTACAATGAGCTTTAATCATGCCACTGCATTCCAGCCTGGGAGACAGAATAAGATCCTGTCTCAAAAAACAACAAACAAACAAGCAAAAAAAGCAGCAGCAAATTATGTGATTAGAATGTATTTTAAAAAATTTCAACAGTAAAGTTTCAATACTTGCAACAGTATTATTGGATAACAGTGCATATACATTGGTTTTAAGCACAAAATTCTGCACACTTATCACAGATGATGTACAACAGGAAATGTCATTAATTCATCATTTCATTAAGAATATGTGATACTGAATTTGCAAACATAAACTCTGTTTCCTGCTAGTGAGTAATTTTTGGTAAATCAGTTACTGATTCTTTACTTACAGAGCAGGAGGAAAACAGTACTACCTAGACTATGAGCTATTAGTAGGAGCTCAATAAATGCCAGTTAAAGCTGAATTCAAATTAGGCAGCACCGGTGGCCACTGACAATAAGTTTCTGTGTGTGTAGCTTTTTTTTTTTTCTTTGAGACAGAGTCTCGTTCTGTCACCCAGGTTGGAGTGCAATGGCATGATCTCGGCTCACTGTAACCTGTCCCTCCCAGGTTCAATCAATTCTCCTGCCTCAGCCTCCCAAGCAGCTGGGATTACAGGCACCTGCCACCATGCCCGGCTAATTTTTGTATTTTTAGTTGAGACAAGGTTGGCCAAGTTGGCCAGGCTGGTCTTGAACTTTTGACCAAGGTGATCCACCCACCTTGGCCTCCCAAAGTGCTGGGATTACAGCTGTGAACAACCAAGGGCCACCGACAATCAGTTTTAAAGTGCTCTTTGTGCTTTTTCTTTAGTACCAGTGCATACTGTGTATTTATTTTTATTATTCCACTTACTAAAGTATAGGTTAGTAATCAATTTTAGTACCTATCAGACTGTAAGCTCCTTAAGGACAAAGAGTTTGCATATTTCCCTTCTTGAAGACCTAAGACGGTATCACCAAGTTCTAGAAATGAGTAACATCTGTCCTATTAAAAACCGATAGCATATGTAAATGTAAACCTAAACTTACTGCATTAGAGCATTGACGGATTTGCAATCAACAATCAGTATTTCATTCAATTTAAAATCGTTAATACTATTTAAAATACGATATAACAATAGTACTCACTTTAAATAGGAAATCAACTAGAACTAGGCTATTGACAGGAGCATCAAGGCATAGGCCAAAGTAAGAAACACAGATTTGCAACACTTCCATATGTGTTTTGAACACTGACATACCATGTAGCAACAGAAATAATTGTCTCTTTAGATGGAAAAATGCTAATGACCAATCATTTCTAATACTAGACTGGATACCTTTCCGTATAGGGACCATTCTATTCCACATTCTCCAACATGGATCCTGCATCCATCCAAGGTACTACCCTATCCCAATCCACCATCACTCCTTGCCTGGAGTATTTCAATAGCTTCTTAACGGGTCACCAGACTTCCACACTGTTCCCACACAGCCCCTCCCCTCTTGCCACCGGCTGTAACCTCAGACTGAAATGCTCTCCCCTCTGATCTTTCGAGCCACTCCTCATCCTTCACATCTTGGCTTAAAAACCTTTTCTCAAGGAGATTTTCACTAACCAGCCTATCTAACATTTCCTGACGATTCCCCAGTCATATCACCTATTTTATTCTTCTTTACAAACTCATTTTTGGCTCGGAAACGTTCAATAACTGTTAAGTGAACTGAATCTCTAATTTCTGGTCGTAACTTGTACAGAGCACTTTCCCGGATTTAAAAAGTGCAGGTGCTCTGGCAGCCTTAACTCGGTGAAAACAAGAGTATTCCGCAAAAGTAACTGTTTACTTATCAAAAGTTACCGTTACACTTCTATACTGTCAATTCGTGTGTGAACAGAGTTGTGCCTGATTCAAGATCTTACAGTATAAGCATTAGACCCCAAGAACGTGTAAACGTTTTGTTATTCGCAATGCAACCCTGGGCTAACTTTTCAAAAGTCCTTTTTCTCAATTTCCCTGTCAGTGAAAGGAATAAAATGCTGTCCAACGCGGTCAATGGACAAAACGAAGTCAACAGAGGCGTGAACAAAAACAACAGCGACTAAACAGTCAGACACTGTACCAGGTGTGTGGAAATCTGGGGGGACAGGCTCAGTCTTAGGGCCTAAGCCATCGGACACTAGTTCTCTCCTGGGGAACAAAACGTCCTCCTCCTGAGAGGGGAATGTCCTGAATTTTCCCTGCAGAGGAAAGGTCGCCTGCAAGCGTGCGTTCGGGCCAGCGTTCCCAAGGGTCCCCTGATCCTCCTCTTCCTTTCTGCTTCATCAGACCAGACTCAGTGGCTAAAAGACCCCACCTGCCGCTTCTCAAGGGCTTCTGAGGTGGCGGAGCGGGAGGCGGCGCCCAGTCAAGGACAAGAGAAGAATAAGTCGCGTGGGCCAAAGGAAACAGTCCCGTCAAGAAATAAATCGCTGGCCGACGCATCTCACCCTTCCCATCCATGCAAGACCTCACCTTCTCCCCGGAGCCGCGGAGGCTGCTCTGCTAAACTGTCCGGACCACAACGACCCTTAGGAGACCGGGTCGCTTACTTAATATGGCGGCCCCAGCTAACTCTGTCAGCCGGGCCTGGAGAACGGAAAGCCGGGAGGGACTAGAAGCCTCGCATTCGACAAGTCTGTCGGCGATTTCCGTCAGCCGACCAGAGGGTGGAGCGGAGGTGGGCCCAGCGGGGAGGCGGAAAGCGCAACTTGGACCCGCAGTTCCGCCGGAAGTGGCCTGTAGCCCCGAGACCGAGCGTCTTTGGTCATCTCCGGCGCTTCAAGGGGCGGTTCCCGTTATCTTACGGAGCCGTGGAGGTACGAATTTAAGACATGCCCGTTTTATTAATTTATTTCCAAACGCAACGAAGGGTCCAGGGACAATTTGTGGGCCACTTAATTCAGGGCCCCCAATTCGTACGTGGAGAAGTGAGAATGTTAACGTACTTTGACCTTTAACCTTTGGTCGGGCGCGGTGGAGGGAAACGCCTCCGTCTCTATATAAGGAATTTTCCGGCTTTTCCGGGCCCTTTTTTTTCTTTGAGCGCGGGGCGCCGTTAGCGTACGCTCTCTTTCTGCTGCTCCCCAGCTCTCGGATACAGCAGACGTCATGGGTTTCGGAGACCTGAAAAGCCCCGCCGGCCTCCAGGTGCTCAACGACTACCTGGCGGACAAGAGCTACATCGAGGGGTGAGCGGACGGGCCGAGACGGGATGGTGGGGAGGCATGCAGGGGCCGGGGCCACGTGGCGCAGCGTCGGCTGCCCCGGGAGGGAGGGAGGATGAGGGGTTAGCGCCTTCCGTTGCCATTTCCCAAGGCCCGCGTGTGGTGCGAGCCTGGGCTCCGGGGAGCGGTTCCTTAGCTGTAAAAGGTTGAAATGTGCTTTATTTACACTTAATTCAGCCAGGTGTCGCCGCGTCGCTGCCCAGTTAATAAAATGGTGGGCTGTAGATAGAGCAATGCTAGAGATTGCAATCGTTGAGGTCTACTAAGTGGCAAGACATTTCTCAGGATAACGTGGCGACCCAAGCATGGTTTGATTTTAAGGAGCTAAGAAAAAAAAAGCATTAAAGCACCCCTGCCGGGGCTAGTGCCCACTAGTTAATGTGATGCAAACAGCATTATTTTCGCTGGCGTTTGTCTTTCAAAGGTGTGTATGAACGTTTCTGTGTCATTGGCAGGTATGTGCCATCACAAGCAGATGTGGCAGTATTTGAAGCAGTGTCCGGCCCACCGCCTGCCGACTTGTGTCATGCCCTACGTTGGTATAATCACATCAAGTCTTATGAAAAGGAAAAGGCCAGGTAAAATCATCTTTGTGTCTAGCTGAGCAATAAGACTGCTCTCGAAGTTAATCAGGGTGTTCACATGACAAAACTGGACCCAGGCTACTTTAGCTTTGTTGGGATATTGTAAGCTAAACTTTTCAGTAACCTTGGAAGGCCAAGAGACTGAAGTCCTCCATTTTTTCACAGAACAGGTAGAACATGGACAACAGCAGTTCAACTTTTCCCCACACTGCCCTGCCAATGTGCCTCGACCCTGACCTGGGGGGCCCACCTCTGGGGTGAGAGGGTGGCTCATTCATTCAGTCCTTGGCTTTTCTTCTGAAACTGCCAACAAGGGTGGAAGTTTGGGGAAGTGGACTCCATTTCACTAAGAATGGAACTGAGCATACTTAATGAAATTTCAAACAGAAATGTGCATACTGAAAGAGTAAATCATAGTAAGTATTGAAAATACTGTCTCACATGGGACTAATGTTTATCGGGTGACCAGTTGAACATAGGACAGTGTTTACTGGGGAGTATGTGAAAGGGTAAATTATTGCAAAAGGGATCTAGTGATCAATAGTGATTGAAACAGTTATTTTGTATTGTCTGGAAAAGGATGTTATACTAGCTCAATAGCGGTTGAATTTAAATGTTTTTCAAGCCTGCCAGGAGTGAAGAAAGCTTTGGGCAAGTATGGTCCTGTGGATGTGGAAGACACTACAGGAAGTGGAGCTACAGATAGTAAAGATGATGATGACATTGATCTCTTCGGATCTGATGATGAGGAGGTATGGCATCTTCTATAAAGAATACATTGGATGGGCGCAGTAGCTCACGCCTGTAATCCCAGCAATTTGGGAGTCTGAGGTGGGTGGGTCATGAGGTCAGGAGTTCAAGAACAGCCTGGCCAAGTTCGTGAAACCTCATCTCTACTAAAAATACAAAAAAAAATCAGCCAGGTGTGGTGGCAGGCGCCTGTAATCCCATCTGAGGCAGAAAATTACTTGAACCCGGAAGGCAGAGGTTGCAAGGTGCTATGATCGCGCTCCAGCCTGGGCAACAGAGCAAGACTCCGTCTCAAACACACACGCACACGCACACGCACGCTGATCGGCAATTTATCATTGTGGATAAACCAAATTGCCTGGATTTGAATCCTGGTTTTGATTTATATGCCTTTCTCAATTCTGACTGGTTTCATGATGAATAAAATCAAATCACCATCTTTCGGCTGAGTTCGTGATGTATTTGCTTTTTTCTGATAAGGCCAGTCATTTTTGTGATGACCCCACTAGCTTTAAGCAGAGGAACAACTGGCTTTCTGAAAAATCGGATTAATTTTTTTTTCTTTACAGGAAAGTGAAGAAGCGAAGAGGCTAAGGGAAGAACGTCTTGCACAATATGAATCAAAGAAAGCCAAAAGTAGGTCATTTGTTTTTAACTTCATAGTAATGTAAGTAATGTTTTTCATAGTTGTCCTTGAAGTAATTTCCTTCACATTCCTTGAATAGGTTAATATTTTAAAACCTGTAGGGGTTCTTCCACAGCTACTGGTCTGCAGCTGTTCTTACGGTAGCAGTTGTGGCATTCCTCTGTGGGAAAGAAACTGTTAACACAATTAAACACCTCTTTCTTAACGAAACAGAAAGTGGGCATATGTGTGACAGACACAAGATGTATCGGTAGTTTTGACAAAGGAGATAGTCACTCAAAACAAATTGAGATGATTTGTTTGTGTCTTAGAGTAGGGTGAAAAAAATGTAATTCGTTATTTGAATAATGCTGTTTATGTTTTTTAGAACCTGCACTTGTTGCCAAGTCTTCCATCTTACTGGATGTGAAACCTTGGGATGATGAGACAGATATGGCAAAATTAGAGGAGTGTGTCAGAAGCATTCAAGCAGACGGCTTAGTCTGGGGCTCATGTGAGTTTAGGCATTGCTTTTTTTTTTTTAACTGACATCTGGAATTTTCATACAGCTTCAATTCTTTCTCTACAGGACTTTTCTAACTAAGATTTTTTTAATGCTCTTTTTAGCTAAACTAGTTCCAGTGGGATATGGAATTAAGAAACTTCAAATACAATGTGTAGTTGAAGATGATAAAGTTGGAACAGATATGCTGGAGGAACAGATCACTGCTTTTGAGGACTATGTCCAGTCCATGGACGTGGCTGCTTTCAACAAGATCTAAAATCCATCCTGGATCATGGCATTTAAATAAAAGCTTGAAAGATTACCTGTGGCTTTTGAGTATGTTACATAGAGGGGTGGTGTGTATATTCCTTTCATTTTGAGGGAAGGAATTAAATGAATACATGATTCCTAAATAATAAAAATTTGGTTCAGCATTGTTGTTAAAAAATGGTAGTGCAGGCTGGGCGCGGGGTTTATTATGCCTGTAATCCCAGCACTTTGGGAGGCTGAAGTGGGTGGGTCGATACCAGCCTGGGCAATATGGAGAGACTCTGACCCTACAAAAAATAGAAAACATAGCTGAGCATGGTGGTGCACCCACCACTATATTCCCAGCTATTTGGGAGCTTGAGGTAAGAGGATTGCTGGAGCCCAGGAGATTGAAGCTGCAGTGAGGTGAGGTTGTGCCACTACTCCGGCCTGGGTGCCAGAGCAAGGGCCTGTCTCAAAAAAAAAATTGTAGTGCAACTTTACCCACTTGTGATGTCCTTAGCAATGCCTGATGACGTGATTTATTGTAACCCAGCATCTTTGCATTGGGATCAGTTGTTGGCTGGAAAGCAATAATTGCAAATCTCACTTGAAGATGTGAGATGTGTGACACTGCTAGAAGACACCTAACCCAGAGGAGGGAGGGCTTCTCAGAATTCGGCATGAATTAAACAACTACTTAAAGTTTACAAATTTAAAATAATGACTCATGTTGTAAAGAAACCATCTTTTAAGTGTTGGGAATGTGATTTGGAGTAGCACCGTGTCCTGGGAGGGGATTATGTAGGTAGCTGGTTCCCAAGCTTCCCACATAAACTTGACTTTCCTGTGATAATTCATAGTTGCTTGATTGTGGGAGTGGAGTATTTTACTTGGATTTGGAAATCTGATTGGTCCTCATGCTGCAGGTAAATACTGGGATGAGGGTAGTATGTTGAGTAAAGTGATAAGCATTGGAAACAGCTTCATTTTGACAGTGAATTTGGAGTCTGGCTGATGTTTGATAGGGCTTTTTTTTACAGTAGTTTTATAAAACTAGTGCTTGGGAATTGCTGATCTCAAATGATCAAAAATTTTTAGGTCAATTTTTAAATAGATCTAGACAGTGCTGGCCCAGTGTGGTGGCTCACACCTGTAATCCCAGCAGTTTGGGAGGCCGAGGTGGGTGGATCACAAGGTCAGGAGTTGAGAGATCAGCCTGGCCAACATTGCAAAACCCCGTCTCTACTAAAAATAAAAAAATTAGCTGGGTGTGGTGGTGGGCACCTGTAATCCCAGCTACTCTGGAGGCTGAGGCAGGAGAATTGCTTGAACCCAGGAAGTAGAGGTTGCAGTGAGCCAAGATTGCAGCCACTGTACTCCAGCCTGGGTGACAGGGCGAGACTCAGTCTAAAAAAAAGAACTAGACAATGCTGTTTCCTCTCAATCTGATATTATGTTATAACTGCCTTGACTGTGGGAAACTTTATTATAAAGAGGATTTAACAGATACATGCATTGAATAATATCTCTAAGCAATGTTTATAGTCCAACCAACACAGCCTAAAAGTCATGGGAGGCCAGGTGCAGTGGCTCACACCTGTAATCCCAGCGCTTTGGGAGGCTGAGGCTTGCAGACCACCTGAGATTGCGAGTTCGAGACCAGCCTGACCAACACAGTGAAACCCTGTCTACTA